CAATAGTCATTAAGAAAAAAAATAATATTGTTGACAAATTTGTAACATATAATCACTCTACTAAACACTACCTATCAAGAAAATTTAGACCAAATTCATATAACTGCTCCATATTATACACAAAATTTAATAATAAAAAAACCACATAAAGAAAGCCAAAAAAGTTTTAGAAAATTGTGACGCAAGAATGATTAAAACCACTAAAAATATCAAGGTCTAATTATAATTTGTTGAATATAATTTTAGATATCATTTCTCTTATTCCCACTTATGCATGTTGTGAGTATTCCAAAACATAACCAATAATTCATATACTAGTTTATAGAATTGCACCAGCATCTAGTCAATAATTCATAGACTGGATACAAAAAAACTAACCATCAATACAACCCATTTCATGGAATTGCACAAAATTTAATAATAAAAAAATCACATAAAGAAAGCCAAAAATATTTTGAAAATTGTGGTGTAAAAGTGACTAAAATCATTAGAAATATCAAAGTTTAGTTCTATTCTGCATAATACAATTTTATATATAATTTCTCTTATTCCCACTTATATATTTTGAGAGTATTCCAAAAAATAATCAATAATTCATATACCAGTTCATGGAATTGCACCAGTAGTTAGCCAACCATTCATATTATTAGATATTGAAAAATAACCATCAAGACAATCCAATATATCAAATTGCACCAACAGCTATTTCTCCAAACTTTAGTGCAGCTGTTCATACACAATTTAATGGTGCAATTTTGAATTTTGTGTTTAGACGAAGTTTAAGGCTTATTTATTATGAACTATTTTCAAAAGCTTCTTAACAGAGATCTATAAGTATTTTTTCTCTAAGAAACATGTCTGCAACTATTTAAAATTTAATTAATATTAAAATTACAGTTGAAACCTAACCAATAGCAAAATTACCATTAATTAAAAACAAAAATACTTACATAGTTTTTAAACTATATATCAAATTCTTTCTCAACCCTTGATGTCATAGTATCTGCATTATCCAACTCCAATTCTTCCTTGTGCAAACTTTCACAAAATGGTTAAAAATTAAAATTTAAAGATAGATATAAGTAAAAATCAGAACTTATAATAAATAAAAAAATTCAAAAACCAACAACTTACTTTATAAACTCATGTATATCCTTATAGTTATGAAGCACATAACTTCGAGCTTGATCTCATTTTGTAAAACTCAACTCCTCATATTTGTTTCCTCATAAGGGCCTCCTAATAGGTTTAAAAATTTGAAGCTTGGAGGTAGTTGATTCATCCATCCCCTCATAATTTCTTCCAACATGATTTAGTCTTATCTCAACTTTAGGCATATATAATGAGCAAAATATCACAGCTTCAAGAACAATATAAGCCTTAGCAATTGATCCTTCTGCATGAGCAGTATTCTTAACAAATGGACTTCAACCTACATAAGAATCTTTCAACAAAGTACATGCACCTATAAGTAGCAGGACCTTCAACTTTTGCTTCCCCAAGCAAATGTACAAGTAAATGAATCGTTACATCAAAAAAGGACAGGGGAAAAACCTTCTCCAACTTGCAGATAGTCATAATTATTGACTTCTCGAGTGATTCCTTATCTTCTACATGAATCTTTCTATCATACAATTTCCTAAAAAAGCCACTTATCTCTATTAATGGCTCACACACTTCCTTTTTCAACACACCACATATTGCTAATGGAAGGAGACTTGTAGGAAAATATGACAATCATGACATTTCATTCAAGCTAAATTAAATTCATTCTCACTGACATAATGAGTAATATTGGAGGAATAACCATTTGAAACCTTTATGACATGTACAAATTTACATAAATCCTTTTTTTCACTTGGTGATAATGTGTAGCATGTAAAGAAAAAACTATACTTATTATTGCCTTTTGACTTCGCATAAAGTTCAGGATGATTACCCATAAGCTCTAGATCAAAACGGGTATTAATTGTATCTTTTGTCTTCCCCTTAACATTCATTATAGTGCCAAATAAACTAACAAACACAATTCTCACAATATGCATGACATCCAAATTATGCCGTATTATAAGGGTTTCTCAGTATGGCAACTAAAAATAAAAACACTTTTTTCCTCCAATTACCTGGTAATGTTTCTTACCCTCTCTTTTTTTTTTTTGGTCCTTGTCTTGTCAAATGGCACCTAATAAAATTATTCATAAATGACAATAAGAATACATAAAAATTAAATAATAAAATGATTAACAATAGTCAAGAATGTTGGAGCTATGGCATGAAAGCTGAAAATGAAATGAAACAATGCTGTAACATGACTGCGTAGTAGCATCAAATATATCACACTAGAATGGATCTAAACTCTCACCACACAGTCTGCCTTGTAAGCAGCGTGAAGAAGTAAAAAGGAAAAACTCTCACCATTGTTATTGATGCTAAACGCTAATCCAAAAAAAAAAATTTATTAAAATAATTATTATAATAATTATAATTATAATTAAAAACAAGATCACTAATAATTCACATTGCATTTGTGTAGGAGATTGTGTGGTGCTAAGTAAGCACTGACATAGATTTCTAACTTCTAACGGAGAGGTTATGAGCATGCCTATATTGATATGATTTTTGAAGCAACTACATCACTTTGAAAAGGAAGCTTTCCAGACGAAAACGGGGTAAAAAATTGATAATTAATAAACACATTACCAAATGGAAAAACAAGCAAATAAGGCCCCAAATTTTAACTAAATTAGCAATTAAGGTCCCAATGTTTTATTGGACTCAGCTAATATCCCAAATTCATCAAAATCCTCAAATAAGGTCCCAATTGAACGGATTTTTAACCTTTTGTTAAATCTCTCTTAAAGCTATTATCAGCCATTTGTCCCATCTTATGTGGCATACTGTAATATCCCAAAATTTTGTGATATTTAGCACTTAGTTAAGGACTTGATTGTGAGGAAAATATTTTTTGGGGTCTAATAGTGAAAGTTTTGAAACTTGAGGGATTTAAAAGAGGAAAATTTTGGATAAGGATCGGCTGGCATTTTTTTTCTTCTTTCTTCTTCTTCAGCCCGATTCTGCTCTTCTTTTTCCTCCCCTGCACCGAGCAACAAAAAACCCAGCCAAGCCGACAGCCTTCCCTTGAAAAACCGGTAGGAAGCTTGGATATTTCTCCTTCTTTTCTTGTTCTAGGATTGAAATTGAACCCAGAAATCCCCCCCTCCCTCTGCAGAAATCCGGATCTACTCTGCTCTGTCCGTCCAGTTGCTGCTCTTGTTTGTGGGTGCAAATTCCTTTGATTTTTCTGGTAAGCCACAACCAAGAAATCATCTCCTTAGCCTTGATTTAACTTGGGTTACTCTAATTTTTGGTTGTGGTTCTTGAATTTTGGGTAGTTTCCGTGAGTTCCCTTCACTTCCCGCCGGCTTCTCCCCAAACTGCAGCTCCAGTTTTGCTTGCTGGATTTATGGTATATGACAGCCCCCTTTGAGCCTAAAATCATCCATTAGTTGTTGAATTATCCATGTAGTGGCTGCCCTTGTGATGTCCGAAATTCTATTGAAAAATGGGGATGAACTTTGACAGTAATTAGACCATGATTTAGCTTAATTCATGTAGAAATTTTGTTTATTTGGACTACTGTGAGATTTTGGAGTGAAATCTCGTGAGATTAGCTATGGTTTTGCCAATTATGGAAGTGCAGTTACTGTTCATGGTGTGATTACCGTTCACGGTACTGTTTATGGGTACTGTTTACGTGTACTGTTCATGAACTGATGACCAACAATTAACCGGGATTAAATGATTAGTTTGTAATATAAGAACAAATTTGAAGATGTCTGGTCATGTGAAGACTGATAAAAATAGCATCGTAATTAGAGGTAGTCTTAATGATGATTTCACTTTAAAGTTGTGATAGTATGGTATTAATTCTGAGGTATTTTGATTAAGTTCTTGAGTGTCTTGTCACCTGAATACTTGGCTTGAGTTCCGGATTTGAGGTAAGTAAATTATGGTAATGTCCTCCGATTTTAATGCACATTTTAGCTTGTTTTTGAAGTGGTGGCGGGACTAAACCCGTTTTACACAAGTATGATCGATTTGGAATAAAATTATTATTCTTCTTATTGATTTGAGCATGCTTGCTTGGAGTTTATTTAACTGCCCTGATGATCTGAAAATTTTCTATAAAGTATGATTTTCTGTTAAATTCTGCCTGTTTTGTCTCCAATATGGTCATGTTATTCGTGTGCCCCTTAGTGGGAGGTTTATAAATGCTAGCACATGTGGACATATTTACTAATAGAACCGGTTCATTCTGTAATCCTGCCAATGGGATAATACATTGATTATTACTAAAACCTTGCCAATGGGATAAAACATTGGTTACTACTGTGCCCGCCAGTGGGAGGTTTATAAACGCTGGCCATGACCTATAGATGAGACTACTACTGAATTTTCTTCTGCATTAACGGTTTGTCATTGAACGCTTGTTTATTGAACTAAATCTGATTCTGCATTAACGGGTTATCATTGAACGTTTTGTTATGTTAAACTGTTTATCTTGCATGCTTAAGTTTTACCCATGGGCTATCCATATTTACTTACTGAGTTATCTCATAGTTTTTCCTTGTCCACCATTTTAGGAATCGAAGTCAAGGACGGGGAAAAAACCAGGGAGTGATGAGTTACAAGGCTAGTCATCTTGTAAATTGACATAGATTTTAGATATAGATCATGTTCTTGTAAACTGGATTTTAATTGGAGATTTTATAAATTCATTTAATGGATTGTTAGTTTACAAGAGATTTGATCTTGAGATTTTGAACTTAAGTCATGTTGGACATAGAATTATTTTGAAATATCTTATTTAAGTTATTGGATTGTCATATGTGAATTGGATAAGTTTCGAGCTTTGTGCATTTGTGGGACCCTTTCACGAGTGCACGGCGTTTGTTACGTCTCGGATTTGGGTTTTGGGGCGTGACACATACTATGTTTGCAAAAATTTGCTGACTAAATTAGAATTTTAAATTAAAACCTTTTTAATTAATAAACTGTGTAGCTACCAATCTATCTTTTTCTCCCCTTAGCATATCCCTTGACTTTTTGAACTTTTTTTTATTCTCAAAAAAACCTATAGCTTTTAAATTAAAACTAAAGTGAATAGAAAGGTAAATACCAAATTTATTTGATTATTTATCATTAATTGACAAATATAAAGAAAGACTTTGGATTTCTAGATGAGAAAATCACATTTTATTTTGGGAGTGAAAATCACATATTGATCGGTAGTCTTTAAATAGTATCAATATCATTGTATGCCTTTTATCAGGGTATAATCTTATCATGTTAGTCCCACCATGTGAGATGTCAAAATATATATATTTATACACACACACACACAATAGAAGAATAATCTAAAAGCATACTTGATTGAAGAGCTTATATTGTTCAACCACATCTTTTCCCGTCAACTCTCTAGGTGCATGATGATGTTCTGTTGTTCCATCAAAAGCTTTTGCATCTTCACGCCAAGGATGGTCTAGTGGAAGAAATCAACGGTGACCCATGTAACATGTTTTATGACCATTTCGAAACCTTAATGAACAGGTCTCAGTCTTGCAAGCTCTCTCAATTCTGAACTTGAATAAGAAATTTATGGCTAATTTAAGTTTAAGAATAATAATAAAAAAAAACTCTTATAAATACTCATTCAAGTTTAGAATTGAGAGAGCTTTGGGAGGCTGGTGGCAGTTCTCTTTTAAGCATTCTTGGAGATCAAGATAAAAGATCTGTCATCAGGGATTTTAATTTCTTTAAATTGGGTTTTATTTTTCGTTGATATTCTTATATTCATAACTATAATTTCAAGTTTTATTATTTTTATTATGAACTAATTTATTTTATTAAGAACTAATTTATTTTATTAAGGTTACAATGTAGCTTAATCAATTTATTATAGATTTTGTGATTTTATACTTTCAATTAAAGTTATTCGCATGATGAGTTTATGTTATTGAATTTAATGCATTGAAAGTCTGCTCACATTTCAATTGATTTAGTGATTTTATAAATGAACTTGAGAAAATTTTGCATAAATTAGACCAATAACAATATAAACCATGTGTTAGACTATGAAACCGAGAGGTAATTAGCTCACATGTGGTAGTAGAGGAAGAGAAGAGAGTTAGAAGCTCCCCCTTCTAAAGTTAGAGGTTTCCATAGAATTTAATACTCATTGGTTTGTTTAAAATTACATAGAGATATGACTAATTTAACAAACAAGTGAATGATTAACTTGACTTGAGAAAACTAGTTAATTAATTTAGGGAAATCCGCCATCATATACAATAACACTCAACAAATTGGTTTTGAAAGTATATTAAATTAAAATTTATATTGATTGATCATGGTAAAATCAATGCCTTAGTACCTCATGTCTTGATTAGTTTTATTTTAATTATTATTAAATTAAAGTTTCTTTTTTTATTATTTAAATAAATTTAGATTAATTATTTTGGTACTTAATTAATCACAATTCTCGTGGATTTGACACTCTATTTATCATTATATTATTTGAAGCAATTAGTACACTTGCTAGAATGATTTTAGCACATTAAGTTTTCAATGCCATTGCCGAGGATTGTTGAATTTAATTAATATCGAAGTTAATTAATTCTAGATTTAATTTGAACATTTTCTTTTCTTTCATTTCTTTACTTTGATTTTTTCTATTTTCTTTGTTTTTTTTTTTTATAGGTCTAACTATGGATCGATTTATTATAGATACTGATATGAATTATCAATGTCTTGTTCCAGAGTTAGGAGCACAAGTTGAAGCAATTACTATCAATTGGGAAGTAGAAATTGATGATGATGAACTTGAATGATTTCAAGCAGTCATTGAAAAGTTTGAAGTAAAGAAGGCTTTAGTGAAACGATTAAATATCACTTGTCAATGTTGTGGATTTGAACATTTTAGCTCTAATTGCTATTTTAACCATCTAGCAAACGTGTTGATTTTTCTTGTGATTTTTATAGTCAGCAATATAATTCTTATCCCAATACATGCAACTTTGATTGGATAAATTATTCAAACTCCTCATGGAATACTGAATATATATTGGAGCCACAATCAAGGTTTCAAGCTCAAGAAGAGGAGACATGTTTCGATAGAAATTTGGAAGTCCAATCAAGTGATTCGCTTAACTTAGTTGCTGAAGAAATACAAGTTGAGTTACCTAGTGCCACAATGAAAAATCAAGAAGAAGAGGTAAACACTTTTACCCTTGGAGATTGAAAGACAACTTAGAGAAGTGGAAAGCATACCTGTAGAAACTAAACAAGATGATGTCCCTAAGGAAGAAAAGGAAAAAGCTTCAAGTGTCATTTGAAGTGTTCAATGGGGAGTCTCCTTTAACCAAATCTGATTTTAATGATTATTTTGTTATTGATATGATTGATGAGATTTTGCACGAAAACATTTATGAGGATCCATTTGAGATTTATCTTATTCAAGCAAAGGACCCAATCAAAGAATACATAAATCGGTTGAACAAATCCTCTCCTTCCTTGGAATCAAAGGAGGCAAACCTAGAAGAATTGGGAAGGCACATCTCTTGGCCTAAACCTAACCCATCATAGAATAGTCATTGGAGAAATTCTTATGGAGGATTCAACTTAAGGGCAAGAAAGCCAAGATTTAAGAAAATGAGAGGACATGCCCTACGACTTGATCCAAAACCACCTTGGAGTGGTAGAAAGTCTAGCTAATAACTATAAATTAAGCACTTCTTGGGAGGCAACCTAAGCATAAATTTTTCTTTTCTTTTATTTCTTTGTCTTTTATTTTAATAGTTTAGATTTTTTATTATTTTTTGTCTCTTTATGGCCCAGGTTAATGCATAAGTAT